GTGGAACCTTGGGGTACCATGCAGATGAGGGACTAAAGGTGCAACTCTCCCCTCCCCCATCACTGACTGGAACTGGCCACCAAAAAAGGAGAAGAAGCATCATAACACAATGCCCCCAACTCCCAAACCATGCAGCCAGTCCAGAAGGATATAGTGATCAATGTATCAGAAGCTGCTGAGAGATCAAAGAGCACAAGCATGGACACACCACCCTGTGGCTTCACCAGAGGTCATCAAAAAGTGTGACTAATACCATCTCTACACTGAATCCTGGTCTGAATCCTGACTGAAATGGGTCCAGGTAATGAGGTTCCTTCAGGATCCTCTGCAACTGATATTTGACCACCTTCTCAACAACCTAAAAAGGGAAGGTTGGAGATAGGTTGATAGCTATCCAAAATCATCAGGTCCAGGGATAGGATGACCACTGCTTCTTGAGGATAGGGTGACCACTGTCTTCTTCAATGTGAAAGAAACCAACCCCTCTTTGAAGGAAGCTAATACTACTGCATGGACCCAATGACAGGTCACCTTAACAACCTAGGAGGAACCTGCTTCTAATAGGTAGGTAGCCAAACTCACAGTTTGGAAGGCCCTGTCTCCCTCATCAGGAGTCACAGACTGAAATTCATTCCAGGTAACCTCACAAGATCCCGACCCAGGCATCTCAACTGGAATAGCCCAGCTGGAGTCCAACTCTGAGTGGAGCTGCATGATTTCACCTGCCAGTTAATTTTAATATTCTTCAGAGCAGCCCTGCAGATGTTCCTGTGACACATCCCTCCCCAGCAGGGACTGATTCATCTTACACAGGGCTGCTGCATGACTATTGGCAGACACAGTAAGGGCAGAGAAATATTGACATTTCACTGCCTTTACTGCCACGAGGTAATCCTGAATACAGGTTCCTACCCATGTTCAATCACACTCACTTTTTCTTTTCCTGCCTAAATGCAGAACCTTACATTTCTCACCCTATCCAACAAAATGTCGTTGGTGGTGAGTGGTGAGAAATGTAAAGTTCTGCACTTAGGCAGAAAAAAACAGAGGCACAGATACAAGATAGAAGGTACCTGGCTCAGCAGTAGTATTTGCTGGAAGGATCTGGGTGTCCTGGTAGACCACAAATTAAGCATTGCCAGCAGTGTACCACAGTTGCCAAAACAGCCAATTCAGTCTTGGGTTGCATTAACAGAGGTATTTATATTTATATTTTTTATTTATATTTCAAATTTGTCACTGCCCATCTCACTGTGGAGTGACTATGGAGTATAGCATCAAAACCATGGGAACAGATAGCACTGCCCTATACTGTAGTAGCCAGACTACCCTGGAATACTGTGTCCAGTTCTGGTTACCACAACACAAAAAGGACACAGAGAAACTGGAAAAAGTGCAGAGAGGAGCAATACAGATGATAAAGGGCTTGGAGGATAAATCTCACAAAGAGCGGTTAAAGGAACTAGATATGTTTAGCCTAAAAAGAAGAGAAGGCTAAGGGAAGACATGACAACGGTCTTCTAATATATGAAGTGATCTTCCAGGGCAGAGATTTATTCTTCACTGCACATGAGGCTAAGACAAGAAGCAATGCATGGAAGCCTTATAGAAAGTGATAGAAATTTGAAATAAGGAGGAATTTTCTGACTGAGATCTATGAAGCAGTGGGGCAGCCTGCCCCTAGAAGTTGGGGTGCTCCATCACTGGAGGTTTTCAAGCAAAGGTTGGACTGTCCTTTGTCCAGGATGCTATGAGAATTACTACACTGGGCAGGGGTTTGGATTGGGGGACCTCCAAGGTCCTTTCCAACCCTATGATTTTATAAGTCCTGCAATGGTTCTCTAGGTCTGTCTTCTGGTGCTTCATCTCCCAGTGCTCCATGGTAAACAAAGGTGCAACCTGGGATTGGTGTACAGGAAGAGGTTGCAGAGGGATAATGTGGTCCAAGGCCCCTGCCACCCATCCATTTCAGGCTGTGGCTCCAGAAATTTTTGTTCCAGAAATTTGAGTTCATCTTTGTCTTGATTCTTTTTGTGGCCTTGGACAAGTTCCTCATTCTCCTGTGGTAGATATGGGATAATCGAGGAGGGGAGAGTGAACTCCAATATGCAAAGTTATTTTATTTCATTTTTCATATATAGATAAGTCCTGTGTGACAGGAAACCCTTTGCCTTGTTATACATGTCAGCTTAAAACACTGGCCTGTGGTCCTTCATTCTTACTCTGTTGTGACTTTTGGTTCTGTATGAAAAGGGAGGAGGACCATCATTCTGAGTGAGGACTGATGTAGCTGGCATGTGAAAGGTAAATCAGAAACTCCCTACAGTTTAATTCTGTTTGGGAGTGATGAGAAAAGATACGCTGTACTATGGATGGATGGATGGATGGATGGATGGATGGATGGATGGATGGAGGGAGGGAGGATCCTGTACTGCTTTTTCTGATTTGAGTGGGGAAAATTCAAATACAAAAATCCAAACATTAGAAGGGTGCTTTCCATAATTTTTTTCCTTCTACTGAGTGAATTTGACTTCTTTCCTGACTGGTCAGTTTGACATACAGTATGTACTTATCCATACTGTAACAAGCTAATTGAGCTGACTTGCTTCCCACGTTTCAGTGTAACAGCTTTTAAAAACTTTCTTACATTATCATATAATATGTTTATTTATATGGATATTCATTAGCTGCTTTATTACCTTTTTTATGAAGACAGATTAAACAGACAAGCCACTGCAGAGGTGAAATAGTAAAAAAGGTGGTTGGAGACTTTGCAGCTACCAGCCGATCTTCCTTGTGCATATACAACTTTCCAGGCATGCCCTATTAGGGTAAATGAAACATTGCCAAAAATGTGCTTCTTTGATCCCAAAGATTATATTCAGTGCTTGATTCCTAAGCAAAGCAGCTTGTTGTGCGCCTGTGAAGAAATCCTATCCTAACCTACACATGCATTTGTTTCCTTAGTAGGAAGATCATACTCTACATGTGATCAGTGGTACCATTTTCTTTACTATTATATTCCCATGTAACATTGCTGGATGGTGATGAAGATGATGTCACTGATTGATGCCAGGATGATCTCCTTTTTTTATCTCCTGATTACCTCAGAACATAAGAACAAAGTTGAACAAAATCTCCAGAGAAGGGTTTGCCCATTCTCTATTTGAGCTATGCGGAGCTAGGGGTTAAACCTCTACCTCATGTGACTGGAAAAAGAGTGAAGCAGTGGACTGCTGGACTTCTTAAAAAATAGCAGAGGGAAAGTAGACATCTCAGGGAAAACCAAGCAGGGTTGAAAAGTTTCTGCTGAGTTTCTATCTGCAAGGCAAGAGTTATAGTCTCTATGCTATTACAGCATTCATGCTAAAGATGGCTGTAAAAGGTATTATACACTATAATAACTATTGAATCCTGTTGAAAGGATGTCCCCACCCCTACAAAGTAGCTAATGAGCTGCTAGGGCTAGCCTGCAACAAACTGAAACATGCTATCCCAAATGAACAGGAGCACTTGAGATGATATAACATGGCAAAATGTACTTAGGAAGTGAAACAGGAAAACACTCCCCAAGGTCACTTTGAAAGTGCAAGTGGGGGATAAATGGATGGCAATGTCATATGTTTCTGCCTTCCAGAAACAGTTACCTGACTGTTCTGGTAACAGGGTAATCAGGCAGTGTGAATAAGCCAATTCTTCACAGATGGAAAAGCTGAGCACTGTACAGTTATTTACTTGGGTTTATAATATTCTGCCATCTGTCCTTTTTAGGGGAGGAAGATTGTTTTAAATTCAGGGTTGTATTCCTTTGGAGTAAAAGTGGTATTTATAGATAATGAAACAAGATGCATTTGCCCTTTCCATGTATGCTATTGTTTCTCTCTCACTTTGCTTATGATTCCACCAAGTTTTTTTATTTATTTCTGGTAAAGCTCAGGGTTCAAAAGCTACTCTGACAATCTTTGCCCAGGAAGACTCATGCCAAAGTCCCCAACGCACTGTGAAAAATTTCCTCACCTTGTATCTGAACTCTAAAAATAGTAACCAGGAAGGCACAATCACCTTTTAATCTAGGATTTTAATCACTTCAGATTGGACCCAACATATAGGAGCCAGCTGATTATTGATGCAATTACACATATTTATATGGGAGGAAGTCTTACGGGTATTCTGGATTGCATGGCCAGTACAGGCTGTTCCACCTGGAAAATGAACAAATCTACATTGTTGAAAAGTAAAGACTTTATTGAAAAATATTCAGTTTTATGTTACAAGTTTTACTCTTGGCAGAGTAAGTATACAGCAGTTATATAATTAAAGTGTAGTCTAGAGTCAGGGTCAAATCCACCTTCAGTCATGACTCTGGGCCAGATACCTTCTCTTAGCCCATACAGCATTGACGTTATTTAGGAAAATTAAAAGAAGGAGTGCTATGTATGCCATCTTGAGCACCTGGACAAAGAAGGAAAACAAATCTCATAATCACAAATAAAAGTGGAAAGAGTAGATGGCTTAATAGATGCCTTTCAAATATGATTTTTAAAGCATGTCCATATTCTTTCAGATAGATGTTTCATTGCTTTTAACCTTCCAGGAATCTAATGAGGTCAACAGTATCAACCTCTACATTCCAGATGGAAGAAAAGAAATGGAAGCAAACAAACATCATGCCAAAGACTATGAACAAAATGAATCTGGGGTTAAGACTACAACTGAAGCTGCTTTGGACTGGATTTATCAGGATATGAAAGGTAGGAAGACAAAAGTGGTTGTATGTGTGCGTGTGTTTTCTCTTGCACGATATTGGTTCATGAACCAAAAGGAAGAGTGGTCAAAGGCATCCAGGAGGTCAGGAACTCTTTTCTTCTCATCTACACTGACTGGCAAAGTTCCAGCCAAGCTTTATTGCCCTTCTTGTATTCGCAGTCTGTATGACAGAAGGAAGAAATATTATGGTTCAGTTGTGACACAATCAGCCTTCCCCTTCCACCTTTCAGGTGTCCAAGGTCCTCAGTTCTCTCTCTTTTTCTTCAAGAAACAGAGTGCATTCCTCAACAGTGGTTGAGTTCTATTCCAGTAGAAGCAATTTGGATTATCCCACCTTCAGGCATAACTGATGAGGAAGGTGCTGTTTCTCCTCTTCTTCCTCTTCCCTTGTGCTGAAACAGGTGAGTAGCGGTAAAGCTGTAAACAACTCTTTGGAGAGATAGCAGGATGGTTCTAGGAAAAATATATATTTCTGTATAAATGATGCATCTTCCAAAGAGAGATGAATGGCAATGGGGGATATAAATACATTTCACAATATTTTGGATCTGTATGTTATATGCTGGCTAATGACTGAAAAAAATACTATTACTAGATTATGTCTTGATAATTCAAGAATACATTGCTGGATATAACCAAAACTTTGTATATAGTCATAAAGGAGTTTTGAAATACAAGGAAAATACAAGGAAAAATGGAATAATTTCCAACTAGAAAACCACCTTATAAAATTGATAAATGTATGAAATTTTTGTGCATGTCATTGTGACAAATAATCAAATTTATATAAAGTATCAAATATAATCAAAATTAGTTAGAATTCCAATATTCTAAAGATTGTATCAGAGGGAACAGGAATCTTATATATGACTGCTACGTCTATAATTCATACATTTTTATAAAAGGAAATCAATACTCCAGATTTTAAAATAATTTTTTAAAGAGAAATGCTTAAAGATAAGAAAAACAGCTCAGCAGTAGCAAAAAAGGAGCTGCATCATCGCCTGGTTTCCTCTGGAATTGGCTGGTGAAGTAAGACCTGAGAGAGTTGTGACTTTCCCATATGGGGAATATGGCAGTTCAGCTGAACAGATACCTAATTCCTGTTTTATGGAATACCCAGCTTTTTATATGTTGAATGTTTTATTTGGGATGAGAAGGGATCTTGGAGGAAGGCATGTTAAGGATGGGACAAGCACTTGCATTGGACTAATGAAAAGTTGGGTTCAGACCCACTATTTTTAAAATTTCTACTGATGTTTATTCAGGCCATGTCTGATAGCAGCTTGCAAACTAACAGAGCTTTAGGCTTCATGCGGTTTCATAGGGCAAGATAGGGGTCACCTTCCTGGCATGCTATGGATGGATGTTATTGGGTAGCCCAAAGTATCTCGCACAATAGATAGGTCCAGTTCAACAAAAGGAACCCTGAAGAAGTGGCCCATCTCTAGCTTTTATTTAATTGGATCATAATTCTGGTAAAAATTCAAAATAGCAAAATAAAATGCAATCTAAAGCCATATATCTTTTTTGTCTAAAACTCATGAAACTGTTTTAAAAAAACATTCTGTAGACATGAAATTGAAAATAGGAAACAACAGCCCCCATTTAATCCTTCTTTGTAACAACTTCAGTTCTATTTACTTATTGTCAAAGGTGATCAATTTTATTTTTGATTTCTAAATTTGCTTTGAGATGGCTGCTGTCACAGAAGGAAGAAAGCCATCTAGGATGACCATCTTCTCAGGCAAGATGGGGTGGCTGCCTCAGGGGGTGTTATGAAAGAGTGTTATGCACTTATTTTTATAATTATAGTTTTATAGCCATAGTTAGGAAGAAGTACTTGGCGGATATTCTTCTTTTTATGCTGGCTTTGTATAATAAACTTCCTAATTTGTATAGGCAAGAGGTGTCTTTTGATGTTTCACTTTAGACAGCTAAATCCTAGGCATTCCAACTTTTCTTATCCTTTTTATGCCTTTCAGCAATACAGAGAATAAAGCAGAAAGCCAATCAAGGCAATTCTTTATTGGAGCTTTAAGCTAACCATGTCCCATCCTACTTGTTGCTGAAAGTGAAACTGGCTGGCTTAAGCCGGCTTCAAGTCCAGTTTACCATCCATTCCTCAGCAGTGGCCATGATGGTGGCCAGGTGTTCAGTCTAGACAGTAATTCCAGCAGGTTCTGAATAATAATTTTTCCTGACTATGCCCCCTCCTACTCTTGCTGGTACGGGTAGTGCCATCTGCTTTCCTCTGTGAGAGTAGAACAGGTATTTTCTCTTACTTTTGATGCACCCCCTGGCCTAATAACTATTTATTTCTTTATTTATCCAAATATATATCCTGCCACATCACAGACTCTTGGCAGCTCACAGAACAAACAGACATTGTAATACATTTTAAAAATGCAGTGCTTAGAGAGCTGGGTCCACTATGGAGAAACAGCACCTCCACACTTTGAGCCCCCAGATCTCCTGAAAACAGGGGACACAGACAGCCTCTTCTCCCAGCATGACTGGTCAGGCCAACTCCAGTGGACAGATGTGGTCTGACAGGTAACTCAGAGCCCATCTAGAAAGGGCTTTATAGATTAAAAACAGCACTTTAAATTTCACTGAGGAGTTAACGCAGGGCCTACAAAACAGCTGTAACATGTACCGCCTGGCAAGTACTAGTGAGCACCCGGACCACCATATTTTGCACCAACTGTAGCTTCTGGGTGGTCTTTAAAGGCAGCCCCACTTCATCCTGCACTCTCCAGTTTGGAATGTGGGCTCGGGCATCTGTCAAACACCACCTGGTGAATCTTTTCATTTCTGATTTTTTTCCCCTGCAGTTTTACTATCGGAACAGTGAAACAACTGCTGTTTCCACAAATGTTCCTTTGGGTTCTTCTTAGCTAGTCTCCATTGCAACCATGATCCTTCCATTGTTACATTTTTACACTGTTCAGCTGGTTGATAGCGATGCATCTGAAAGATGACATTGCAACAGAGAAAGGTTAGAAGCAACCACAGTTGCAGAAGCAACAGTTGCTTCGTCATTCTGATGCTGTGATTGGCAGAGAAAAAAAATTAGAAAAAGTCACTTCTTGGACAGTGTAAGAGGGGGCTGCCCCTCAAATGAATGGTAATTTCCAGATTCTTGGCTTTCATTAAAAACCAAAGAACAATTCTATATGCCTTCCAGAAGCTGAAATACAAGGTAAAATGTACAGTCACTATTCTGCCTATTTATTTTATAAGCGGCACCATTTCCTGCATTGTACTGCTTTAAGCCAATTGCTGTTCCCAGAAATGATGACACCAGCACAGTCTGGAGAAGGAAGTTCCTGGTTTATTTTTTCTCACAATGGATTCCTTTTTATAAAAACATCTTCCCAGTGGGAAGTTACTTCTGCCTCATAAAAAAAAAGTTCAGAAATGCAGGCTTTTGGAGTAGCTCTGGCTGGGCAATAGTATGGTTTCCTATTCCTCCTAACTGCAGGTCCAAAAACAGGAGTTTATATTTGTAGTGCACTTTTACCTCAAAAATGTAGTGATATTTTTCCGTATCTAAATATTGAAAATAAAATCCTGCCAATGCATGTGGATAAAGGGCTTTTTCCATTTGCACCACCAAGCCATGGGACAACACAGTCTGGGAACCTCTTTTTCCTTTGGGTACTATAATATTGCCTTAATCTCAACCCCAGTCCGTATCTGAGGCAGCCTTGAGTCCTCCTTAGCTGTTCTTGCAATAAAGTGGTGTTTTCTTCTTCAGATTACAGCAACCAGGTTGCATTTTTAAGATATGCAATGTCTAATGCATTTTGCTCTTGGTGGTGCAGTCAGGACAAATGTAGGGGTGGAATCATCCCGGCACCTATCGTTACTTCAGGATGGCCCAAGCCATTCATTTTGGGGAGCTGGAGAGTAACTCCTTCAGTCTGCAGATAAGCTGTTCGATGGTATCAGGGCGGGAAAGATGAGCGTGCATCTCAACTTTTTTGGCAACCACCACAGCCTGATGATCAGTTCTCTGGTGGGCTTGCCCTGAATACGGGTTTAGTGCTCAACATATATTCTAAACAACCCTGTGCAGCACCTGCTTGATCAGGTGAGGTGGCTGACTGGTCAGGTAGGAGATGCTCTCCTTCAGCCGTTCACCTAATAGATCAGCTGACCAGTTAGGGATAACACCTGAAAGACAATGTCATTCCTATAAAGTGACATTGTCCCCTAATGAGAAGTGTGGTGGGATGGAAAAGCAAGCAGACAGCACTAGTGCTACCATTTATTAATTATGGGAGAAATAATGATGTATATATGGACATGTTAAAGTAGTGCTGGAGTCCAGTGACTGTACTTTCTTATGTATTTGGGAGTGTTGTTTCAAGGTGCCTGGAGCTGGTTTTTGGACATTGGTTTTACTGTTTTTTTAAAATGTTTTTTATCACTGCTGATGTGGGCCTTCCAGTGTTATGGCAGATAAGATGGGTGGCCGTATATATCAAACAAACAAGCAAACCCTTAGGGTTCCCCTTAGCTAATCTCCATTATAAAAGTAAAAATAGAATTGTAATTAAATAAAAACAAATAATGAAAACAAGGAGAAGCATGGCAATGAGGAAGAACAAAAAGCACCAAATAAAACCCTCTGCCACAGACAAACAGCTTAACTGTCTTAAGCAACTGTCTCAGTAATAATTTCTTAGTAGAGCAGAGAGAAGTAAACCTGCTCTCTCTTGGTAGAGAGTTTCAAATGCCTACAATGGGAACTGTCTTTGAGAAGTTCCTTTTTCAGATTTGGACTTGGTGAGTCTTAGAGAGTAAAATCTTCTAAAGTTCTTAGAACCCAGGTGAGCTCCCAGGGGAAAATGGCATATGACATAGTCTGCCCTAAGTTGCATACAGGTAGTCCTCATTTAGCTACTGCCTCATTTAGTGACCATTCACAGTTACGATGGTGATGGAAAAAGTAACTTCACAACCAATCCTCACATTTATGACCTTCTCAGGTCTATAAAGCAAAGGAAAGCTGAAGTAAGATTATAAGTGCAGTTGCAGTTTCACTTAGAAACAGCTTCACTTAATGACCAACTTGGCAGTCCCAATTGTGGTCACTAAACAAGGACTACCTGTATAGCTTCATGGGTCATAATGCTGGCCTTGCAGACTGAACCAGATAGGAATTGCAACCAGATGAGCTAATTCTACTTTATGGTAATGCTACATTGACAGAATCATGCAAGTCTGAAAGTACAATTCTCCCCCCAACCCTGTTTTCTTTACTACTTGAGAATCTCTTCTGAGGGTCTTGCCTCACCCACTATCCAGGTGTGGGCTATGCTGTCTTTTATCTGACCATTCCTTTGGCACCGTCTCTTTGCCCAGTCTCCCAAGGTCTTTCCCAAGTTCCATTACAAATAACCTGCAGGATGCAGCTCTCTAGGCCCCAAGGAAAACCTCTCTTCTGGATTACCACTAGATGGCAGGAATGGGTTAAGATTTTCTTCATGTCTTTGCTGCCTTCTAGAAATCATCTGGGTTTTTGCAGCCAGATATTATATGCTTCTCCTCCCTCTCCTCATTCATTCACAATCAAGAAGGAGAACTGCGGAGGATACACCAGAGTCTTCAAGGCCATCCCTTCTGGTGCCCACTGTTGCTGAGGTGACACTGAGAAGTGGCAACAGATGAGATGATAACAGTGATGGCAGCATTTCTTCCCTCACTTGCTCCCTCCTTCCTCCTGAGCCACTCTTCTGTTGTGGCTACAGTTGGGCCCCAGTGCTATGGCTACCATATATGGGCTGCGAAGCTCCAGACAATCACAAGACATTCTGCAAAGAGATGCAGAAAAAGTTAACATGTTGCTGCCATTCAGGCTTTTGTAGTTCAGATATGGCAGCTGTTCCCACATGATCAGGTTTGTTGAAGGACAGGGCAAGTAGTAGATGGCCAGGAAGGGCCAGGAAGGGTGACTGGTGCCAATTGCCATCCCTACCTTCCGAGTATTTATATCATGGATAACCAAAATCTTGTCTGGAGACATACTGGCAAGTAGTCCTCTGTTTTAATGAGGAAATCATCTCTGTTCCTTATAACCAGCCTGTTTAACAGTGTAGATGCAGCATTCCAAATTTTGGGGGCACAGCTCCATATAGAGAGTGCATTATGGTAATCCACAGGAATGTGCCAAATCAGACATCTTACAGAAGTAAGCATTAACTAACTAGGATTAAAGCATGAATTTATTTTCTTTCATTTAGTCCATTACTGATTCTAGTCACAATTTTAGACCTTAAAGGCTATTTTGGATTTCCATTCTTATTTTGTGGTTTCAGATAAGGATGACCAAGATATTTTCTGGATCTCATTGATCAGAAGGGCAAATCCAGTATACTAATGTCTCAGAGTCATGTGGATTTATCGCAGTAGACTTGATGTCCCAGCTGTTTAGTAACCAGGTTTATAAGAAATGGAGACTGCTCTCTGGGTGTATCAGATTTTTTAATTAAATATGCAATTCTTTTTAGGATCTTAGACATAGTTGATTTCTTCCAGAATGTTATGAGAATAAAACATGGAAGCTCAAATGCTCAGTTATACAATGTAGTCTCTCTGGAGTCTGTTATCTTCTAAGACAAGTTTGGATATCTAACTCCCAGCTGCAAATAAACCTTTCCTGACAAGTTACTAAACAGGGTGGTGACCTCCTGACTAGAAACATGCTTAGAGGAAGTCAGTTAGCTAAAACCATTTCAGTCTGGTTCCAGGCCTGGCTTTAACACAGAAACAGCTTTGATTGCCTTGAGTAATGCCTTTTATTGAGAGAGAGATGACAGAGCCTTACTATATTGATTCACCCTGATGCACCTGGACCTCCCAACAGCTCTTGGCACCAGTGATAATGTGGTATTGCATGTGTGGTTCCATTGTTGGGAATTAGAAACATAGGCTTACTATGCTTCCATTTCTACCTGCAGTCTTGGCATCAGAGAATGGTAGCGAGAGATACCTGATCAGCCCCCTGATGATTTTGTTGTCAGGTCCCTTAGGGTCTTATCTTTCTCTGCTCTTCAGTGACTTCATAAGCCCTTGGAATGATTATCTAGAGGTGGATGCTGATGACACTGACTCTTTCCCTTTCATCTGAATTAGGAGAGTCTGAGCGAGGGTCTGCCTGTTGCCTGGAATCAGCAATAGGCTGTGTGAGGACAAACTGAATCCCAGCACCATGGAGATATTGTAGTTAGGTACTGTAGTTCTCAGGCCAAGGAATTAGGAAAGTGCCCATTGTGGATAAGTAGTACTCTCTCCAGAGGAACAGGCACATAGCTTGGGGCATCTCCTTGATTCCAATCTCATGATCAGAGGCACAGGTGGTCTATGCCCAACTTACACTGATGTACCAATTATGACCTCTCCTGGATCATTGTAGCCTAATAACTTCACGACTGGATGACTCATAATTCCAATTCTTTATTGCAGGTCAGCGACCCAGACTAAATAAAACTTACTAAACAAAATCAACAGAATATAGCTACAAAATAGAACATACAAAATAGAGTAAAGCATATAGAATAAAAAAAATGAATAATCATGCTTGCACTATTTTGTTGTCAACAATATATGAATTTTACAAGCCACAAAAATAAACTTGGCAATGGCAACAGTTACCTTAGGATCCTTACCTGTTAGTAAAAATTGAATTTAAAATTCTTTAGTCCATCACAGAAATGCTGTTAGAAGAAGCGTTAACAGATACATGACTGCATTGCACTCTACATGGGGCCACTTCAAAGACCATCTGGAAGGTGCAACTGGTACAAATAGTGGCTGCCCAATGATTACATAAGATCCCTAAATGAGACCACAGAACACCAATTTAAATTCACTGACATTAATTTTAAAAGCTCAGAATGACTTAGATCCAAATACTTAAATATCACCTAAACCAATTCCATCTGATCTTGCACTAAAATCACCTGGAGAGGCCTTGCTTGCCTTCTTACCAGTTGCTTCAGCTCCCAGTGAGGTGGCCATTTGGTGGCAGTGCCCCAATTATGGATCTGTCTCCCAAGAGAAGTGTATCTGGTCGCAAGATCTTCTAGACACAACAGAAGTCATCTCTCCATTCAGGAATCTCTAGGATAGCAACTATTCCAGGACTTAGCTACCTCTTATTTTCTTTTTTAAATGAACTCTGGCTTAATCTTTCAATTTATTACTTTTAGATACTCTTGGCTTTATTACTTATGATTGCTTTTATTACTTGTAAACAACTCTAGGCTGCTCCAAGAGGCGCAGCTAGAAATAAAATAAAAAATAAGGACAATTCCATCAGGGAATCCCCTAAATGTTATAATAAGTAAGTGAGATTTATGTAACAAGACTTCCTGTTTCACTGTCTCCCAGGTCCAGCGATTAGGAACGATGGGACAGCTAGTTCAGGCAAGGCATGCTGCATTCAGAGACTAAGAAAGGTGGGAAAGGGGTGGAAGAAAGGTGCAGCCTGCTTTCTTTGCACCTATAAACCTAGGCAGCTTCCCCTTGAATGGATGTAGAAATAGCTGTTCTCTTATTGCTGCTCTTAGTCCAGCATTGTTCTGTGTAAAAGGAAGTGTAGAAAGCCACTTTTCCATTGCCCCAGTGAGACACTTTTATCTGGGAAAGAAAAATAAGGCTTCGAATGTAAAATATCCATAGCTGCCAATATAATTCCCATGATTATGCATCATGCTAACACTATCAGCATTGTCCTCCATATTTCTTTTTAGATGGCTTCAGGGATGACACTAGACACAGACTTCAATCTCATGAGCTGAAAAAAGTGGAACATCTTCAATGGGAAGTGATGGAAGCCGAAGATGAAAGAGACCAGGTAGCAGTCCTTGGCCCTGCACACTCCAGAGGTCTCGAGAGCAATGTACCTGCTGAGATTAACAGCGTGGATTCAATGGACAACAGGGTGATTGAAAAGAGGCCTCTGGGCAGAAACATCCTTAGCATCAGCAGTGAATCTGAGGGTTTATCAAAAGACTCAACTTTCAGTAACATCAGGGCTTCACCAGCTAAGACCATTACTAGAGTGAGCGATGACACTGCAGATACTGGTTCCCCACGTACCCCCTCTGGGGAAACGCAGAGCTATACAACAACAGTCAGCATGACAATGAGCGATGGGAGTATCGCCTCAGTTTCAACAAGTTCTTCTTCAAGTGTAACACAGAGCCACATACCAGGTACCAGCCCCACCGGGAATAAGTTCACTGCAACCACACCTTCCACAACTACTATCTCAGTCAAGACTTACAGTCCTGCAACTGCGCACAGCTCCCCACCAGATACAAATACCACTCTGGCTGACGTCACTACAAACATACCATCCGCAAGTGCTCCCTCAGAGGAACCACCCAGCTCCCAGATCACACTAAGTACCGCAGAGAGTACCGTTACCACAGACACAGCGTCAAGCACTGCCGTCTCTCATGAAACTGACACTTCCTCAGTAGGTACCACTAGCACATTAAGTGATGTCACTACGAGCACCCCTATTACAACCTCTCTTTCGGATGGAACACACAGTCCTGCAACTGCGCACAGCTCCCCACCAGATACAAATACCACTCCGGCTGACGTCATTACAAAGGTACCATCCGCAAGTGCTCCCTCAGAGGAACCACACAGCTCCCAGATCACACTAAGCATCACAGAGAGTACCGTCACCACAGACACAGCGTCAAGCACTGCTGTCTCTCATGAAACTGACACTTCCTCAGTAGGTACCACTAGCACATTAAGTGATGTCACTACGAGCACCCCTATTACAACCTCTGTTTCGGATGGAACACACAGTTCTGCAACTGCACACAGCTCCCCACCAGATCCAAATATCACTCCGGCTGACGTCATTACAAACGTACCATCCGCAAGTGCTCCCTCAGAGGAACCATACAGCTCCCAGATCACACTAAGCACCGCAGAGAGTACCGTCACCACAGACGCAGCGCCAAGCACTCCCATCTCTCATGAAACTCACACTTCCTCAGTAGGTACCACTAGCACATTAATTGATGTCACTACGAGCACCCCTATTACAACCTCTCTTTCGGATGGAACACACAGTCCTGCAACTGTGCACAGCTCCCCACCAGATACAAATATCACTCCGGCTGACGGCATTACAAACGTACCATCCGCAAGTGCTCCCTCAGAGGAACCACCCAGCTCCCAGATCACACTAAGCACCACAGAGAGTACCACCACCATAGACACAGCATCAAGCACTTCTGTCTCTCATGAAACTCACACTTCCTCAGTAGGTACCACTAGCACATTAAGTGATGTCACTACGAGCACCCCTATTACAACCCCTCTTTCGGATGGAACACACAGTCCTGCAACTGCGCACAGCTCCCCACCAGATACAAATACCACTCCGGCTGATGCCATTACAAACGTACCATCCGCAGGTGCTCCCTCACAGGAACCACCCAGCTCCCAGGTCACACTAAGCACCGCAGAGAGTACCGTCACCACAGACACAGCATCAAGCACTGCCGTCTCTCATGAAACTCACACTTCCTCAGAAGGTACCACTAGCACATTAAGTGATGTCACTACGAGCACCCCTATTACAACCCCTCTTTCGGATGGAACACACAGTCCTGCAACTGCGCACAGCTCCCCACCAGATACAAATACCACTCCGGCTGACGTCACTACAAACGTACCATCCGCAAGTGCTCCCTCAGAGGAACCACCCAGCTCCCAGATCACACTAAGGACCACAGAGAGTACCGTCACTGCTATTACAAGCTTTCCTTCATGTGAAACATCCAGCCTGGCAACAACACAGAGCCTCTCAGCACATGCCAGCACCTCACCGAGCATAGCATCAACAATAGTTACCACCACAGGTAAGCACCAGTTTTGATTTGATCCATGTCTTTATGCAATCCTCTTTTTAGCCTTCCAAAAATCACAAGGGGTTTTCCATCTATTCCTGTGATATGAAGCACAGTGTGATTTTTAGGAAATGGGTGGGATTTAGAGCAGTACATGTGAACTCACTGTATTTATCTGTTAGATTATTTTTTTATACATATCCCCCTGTGATAAAGAATAATGCTTCTGCTTAAATTGCTGTCTTATAAGAATAGATTTTAATTTCCAAATTAGATCTCTATGTGTGAGCTTCTCTCTTCCAGAGCTATGCTACAATGGTGGAACATTTGATGGGATCAAATGCATCTGTAATGAGGATTTATTCTATGGGCCCAAGTGTGAGTTCCCTGTGGATGAGATCCCTGTCAGAGAATGTAAGTACAATCAAGGAGATCTTGATCGTTCTTTCTAGATGACAGCCTAGTAGAGCTTTCTCAAATTGCTTGCCTTCCAGATATGTTGGATTATCATACTAGAATAAGGAGAATGTATTTGGAAGGAACTAGGTTTGGAAAATGTGGCCTAATAGAACCTCATTTGTACTGCGTGTAGACCAGGAACATGTAGGAAAATAGATAGCTCTCCATTCCCACTTATACCTATCTTGGAATGATGATTCACAGAAGCCTGTGTGTTTACCAGCTCCAACATAGAAAAGATTTGGAGCTATTTTTTTTTTCCACATGGCTACAGTGGCCTCGTGAATAGGTGAGAAGATACTGCCTGTTCTGTGCTGAGTAAAGTTTCTTCATCTAAGGAGAATCATGGAGACCGTCTCAAAAATACCTGATTGGTCATACACTGTTTCTTTTTACTTGTAAATAAAAAATTAGCTTTCAAGCAGCACAGGGGATCTTGGGATTTGGGCATTTGAAATGGTGTTGGAGAATGCCAACATATTCACCTCTTGCCCGTCACATTTTAGAATTCCTTTGCTGGGAAGTAATTTGTTGAGGCTCATGTGAACACCTCTTTTCCTCTCTTTTAGTATCTGTGACCATTATTGTTGAAGCCCAGGTGAGGGTTACTAACAGAGAGTACAACGAATCTCTGGAAGACTTAAGCTCTGCCTATTCTCTGGAAATTCAGGATCAGTTTAGAAAGCAGGTAAGATGTACTGGATCAAGGATATAGACTACATTTGGTCCATGTCACTCAGATACCATTTAAATGTAATGTATCTTGTACTCTTCCTTAATCAAGGCCAGCATTCCTAATTCTTATCAAGAATATGTCTCCTTCCCAGTTAGAATCTCGCCTTTTGGACTCTCAGCTTTCTGCAGCTGGAGAAATTAGAGAAGACATAGCTGTAGACCACATATTAAATGCTTTATGTGGTTTGCTCCTGAATAAATTTTCTTTCCTGGCATAGTTTTGCTTTGTTTATGAAGACATTTTGTATTTTTTGTATGTTGTAGATGAAAATTATTTATCATGCTGTCCCTGGATACCAAGGTGTGGAGATCTTACAAATGAGGTGGGTGTCTAAAAAAGAGACTAGCTTGAGATGCCATATAATGCCCCATAGGATTATATTCATGTCTTAGGGTTGGGGATGATGAGCCATCAAATGAATTTGTCTCATTCATTCATGCCAGCCTCAGTCCCATGTCCTTTGCCCACCTGAATACACATAGAACTTGTTCTCCCATTGTGGATCCTCCTTTATGATTTAACTAACCCCCCCTTCAGATCAGGGCAAGAGCAGGGGAGGGACGAAGTGTGCATGGAGAATTTGAAGATTGGGCCATTTTACATGTCTTATACATACTTTCAGTCATCATGTGCTCCAGAAAACTTCTGAAGAAGATGAAATGGCTCTCCAACAGAAGCACTAACAATGCTGATCTTGAGAGATAAAGCAGTTAAATTTGGACTACATTGAAATCTCACTCAGTCATGAAGCTTCCAGGGGAACTTTGAATCAGTATACAATTTGCAA